GGAAAACAACCACAGCCCAATTCTCTCCTGGCTTCTGTGTCTCTTTGGCCCCAGAAGGAAAGACTCATATGTAAGAGTAGAACCAGGTCTTTCACAAGCCACTAAAGTAACGATGTTCACCAACACCTCTTCTGCATGACCAATCTTTTAAATGTAGCAATAGGAGCTTGTTTGCTTATTTGTATATATATATATTTAAGTAATAAAAGTAACAGTTTTTGTTACCTTTTTTGAAAAATTATCATAAAATTCCTACTTTCTGACTTCTAAAGAACAATGTTGTTCTCTTTTGAAAAAAAATGCATTTTGTATTTTGAATGAGATTTTTAAAAAATTATAGGAAGTCAAAACATCATTCTTATTAGTATCCTCTTTTCAATCTCTTCTTTGGGGTGGTATGTGACATCTGAGCGTTACATTTTAGATATTCTCTTAGAGATCGTGTTCAATAGTACACAGGTGTTTCAGTCCAAGAATGGTTTCAGCAGGGCAGAAGACAGGTTGGTCTACCTATCCCACCCATTTCTACCAGTTTCATCCAAAAAATAAATTTTAAAAAAAACCTATCCATTCTTTCCTCAATGCTATTGAGAAAACACTAAGGAATTTTGTTCATTATCAGTAAAAACCGAGGGAAGCAGTGTGATGTACTAGAGAGAAGGAAGATATGGATTCATATTCCACCTCTGAAACACAATGAGTTTGTGACCCTTGAAAAATCACTTTACCTCATAGTAATTATAATAATAATAACAGCTAACTTGTATAGTGCTTAAAGTTTATAAAGCACTTTCTATATTATATCATTTAAACTTCACATTAACTCAGGTAAATTCTATTTTAATCTCTATTTTGCAAATGAGGAAACAGAAGCATAGTGAGATTTAAGGGTCTTGACCAGGGTCATACAGTTAATAGATATCTGAAGGTAACATTCAAGATGAGGTCTTCTTGACTCCTATTCATCCACTTCACTACCTAGCTCAGGGCCCACTGGAAACTCTGTAAGTCTAAGTTTTAGAGAAGAGGCTGATCTGCATTGGGGTAGAGAAAGTTCCTTAGTGAGGGGCCCCCTATGCCAATGAAATAGTAGGTTTAGTTTTAATCAGTAAAAAAAACACTAATAATTAAAATATTTTTTAAAATTAAAAAACAACTAATAACATAGACTTTGGCAGCACAAACAGTAATATATAGTTATTATTAATACCACAGGACAGCTAGGTGGCCAAGTAGGTAGATAGTGGCCTGGAGTCTAGGAGACCTGAGTTCAAATCTGGCCTCCAGCACTTACTAGCTGTGTGACACTGGGCAAATCACTTAACTCTGTTTGCCTCAGTTTCCCCATCTGCAAAATGAGCTCAAGGTGGAAATGGCAAACCATTCCAATATCTTTCCCAAGAAGACCACAAATGGGATCACAAAGAGCTGGACATGACTGAACAACAACAAATTAATATTTTTCTTTTTTTTTTAAAGGCAATTGGAGTTAAGTGACTTGCCTAGGGTCACACAGCTAGTAAGTGTCAAGTGTTTGGTCTGACGCCAGATTTGAACTCAGGTCCTCCTGACGTCAGGGCTGGTGCTCTATTAGTATTTCTTTTCTTTTTTTTTAACAACAAATTCATACTACAAAGTATTAATACTGTAAAATAGTGATAGACTTCCTGAAGGATCTTTATAGGGATCTCCAGTGGTTTAAAACCTCACTCTAGCAATGACTGATGTTGTTTCAGACCAGAACATTATCATTATTGTTGCTGTTCAGGCTGCAGTTATTCAAAATAAAAGCATATGAACCTAGTGGCATTGATGATCCTTTGCAATAGCAGCAGACTACAGTTGGGGGTGTGTGTGGGGGGTGACACTTACTATATGTCAAGCATTGCTAATGCTTTTTACAAATATGATATCACCTAATCCTTAAACAGCCCTGCAAGGTAGGTACTATTGTTGTATCTGTTTTATAGTTGAGGCAAATAAAGATTAAATAACTTAGCCAGGGTCACATACTTAATAAGTGTCTGAGACTGGATTTGAACTCAAGTCTTCCCAACTCCAGGCCCAGCATTCTATCCATCATGCCATTGAAATGCTATGTATGATTTCCAATGATGGAGATGACAACCTATCCCTTCCTCCCCATCCTGTCATTTTATCAACAAGCATTTACTAAGAACTTACTATGTTCCAGGCACTAGGGGTAAAAATGAAACAGTACGGTTTCTCAAGGAACTTTCTTTAAGAGAAAACCACCTGACAATTAAAGTATCTACAAAATATGTACAAATATTCCAGAGACAGCATAGCATTGTGGATGGGGTTATGGCCTCAGAGAGTTTGAATCTTGACTCTGATGTACCCTGGTGATGTGATCTTGAGCAAATGCTTCAGGAAACTGTAACACTGTGAGTGGCAGAGAAGATGCCAACCTGTACTGGTACAGCTTCCTTAGCATGTATTCTGTATAGAAATGAAATCACAAGGCAAGGAAGAAAAAAAAATATGAAGTAAATTGGGGGGAGGGAGAGAGGTGATAGCTATTGCAAGAATAAGGAAAGTTCTTATATCCAGGTGGTAGTCAAGCTGAACTTTGAAGTAAAGGAGGGATTCTAAGAGACAGAAATGAGAAGGGATTGCATTCCAGGCATAGGGGTCAACCTGGACAAAGAGGTGGGTACAGGAGCCCATTGCCTGGACTGGTGAATGCACAGAGTGGAATGTAATCAGCACGGAGCCAGTTTGTGAAGGGCCTTAAATGCCAGAGAGGCATTTGTCTTTGATTCTAGATGTAATATGGAACTATTAGAGTTTATTAAGCTGGAAATGACGTGTGCAACTCCTGTTCATATCCTGAATATCTGCCATAGGGGACACCCAGTGATATTACTGACATTGCAGTATTAGCCAGAGCTAGAGGGTTGGTTAAGTAGAGTTCAAAGTATCTTGCCTTCAGTTTGTTTATATGAAATCTTCCACTGGAATCTTTATAATGTCAAGACAAAGAGCATATTGTGTTAACCTGTGCTGAACTTGAGAGGGCACTGGCAAGAGAACCACAGGACAGTCATATAGTTATATATGGGTTATATATAGAAATACTTATAGATGCTTTTTATGTGTGTGAAGTGGCAAATAAATAAACAAACAACCAAAAAAACCAGCCCTGGAACCTAACAGGCAATCTATCAATTGAGAAATAACTGAATATGTTGTGGTATATGAAGGTGACAAGAGTATGTTATGCTGTATGAAACGAGAAAATAGATGATTTCAAAAAGACATGGACTTCCGTGAACTGATGCAGAGTGAGTAAGCAGACCCAGAAGAACAATTTATCCTGAAACATCAATATCATCCAAATGAATGATTTTGAGGACTTCTATAAACTGGTAAAGAATGAAATGAACAGAACCATTTATACAACAACAACAATCCTGTAAAAAGGAACAACTTTGAAAGCTGTGACAATTCTGATCCATATAATGAACATTCACAGTTCCAAAGAATTGACTATAAAAAGGGCTTCCCATTTCAGAATGATGATGGATTTAGGGTGCGGCATGAGACATTTTTTTTTTACATAGCCATTGAGGGAATTTGTTTTGCTTGACAATGTATTTTTGTCATAAGAAATTACTTTTTATTTTTTTTTTTTTCCCCCAACGAGGTAAACGGGATGGAGACAAAAGTAGATTTCTGTTTTTTAAATTGAGGGGGCAGGATGCACATACAGAAGTATGTCCTACACTTGAAGAGTAGGTAACTGTATCTTATGTTTTGCTTAACTGCTTTACTTTGTTTCAAGAGACCTCTTACAAAGTGGGAGCAATCTATAAATTGTCGAGTCGTTTCAGTAATGTGTGATTCTTCATGACCCGATTTGGGGCTTTCTTGGGAAAGATAGTGGAGTGAAGCCATTTCCTTCTCCAGTTCATTTTACAGATGAGGAAACTGAGGCAAACAGGGTGAAGTGACTTTCCCAGGGTCACACAGCTAATAAGCATCTGAACTAAGGAAGATGAGTTTTCTGACTGTAGGCCAGGCACTCTATGTTCTGAGCCACCTAGTTGCCCCAATCTATAAATATTTGTAATGTAAAAACAAAGCACATTAATAAAACCTTCTTTAAAGTCTGCATAGTGGAGGGGAACATCCACACTGCTGATATATCAGAACCATTGCAATATTTAGTTCTTCATGTTATAATAACATGAGTTTGGGGGATTATGATACCAGCAACATCTTCTCAGGGTTGTTGTATCAAATGAGAGCATATATGTAATTAACTTTGTAAACCTTAAAGGACTATGTAAATGTAAGCTATTATTATGATAATAAATGGATGGATTGAAAGAATTGAATCATAATATGTCTGGCCAAGTACTAAATAACTGTTGTGCCTACTGTCCTTAACATAAAGATGCAAGATTGGGCACTTGTTAGGTAATTGATGAATTGTAGAACTCTGGAATCTCCAGCTAAAGAGGAACTTCTTTTCTGTTCTTTGTTCACATAACAGAAATTTAAAAAAACTCTCCTAATCTTTGTACCCCTTTAAAGCAAGTTGTTTCCCTAATGTGTGTAAGTCTACTGAGCACTCGTAACTTAAAAAAAAACTTTTTGGAGAATGTGCCTCCCTGTCATTGTTGCTCAGGGGACCCAGGTGAGTGAAGTACCTTCTGAGAAGCTCTCCATTTGGTAGTACAGAAAGTTGCAGACACCAACAGACAAGTTTGGCTAGTTTGTACTGTTTTTCTTTGTTACAAGGAAGGGTTCATGGAAGGGGATAGAGGGAGGGGATGAAAGAGAGGGGTTATATCCCATAATAATTATGATGTTTAAAAAGCAAAAATAACATTTTTTTAAAACTACCTTGGGATGGATAGTCATCTGCCTAACCTCAGGACATCTGGTTAAGTTTTAGTCACATTACTCATTGGTTAATGGTTGGAGCAACCCCAGTTTTATGGATTCCTTTGCTTTTCCATTTTTCCAAGGACATCTGGATGATGATGGCTTACCACATGGCCTCTGCACAGTCACCTACTCCTCCACAGACAGATTCGAGGGGCACTTTGTCCATGGAGAAAAGAATGGACGGGGAAAATTTTTCTTCTTTGATGGAAGGTAGCATTTGACAATTTGTGTTCATCTTCTTTTTTTGGAGAATTTGTCTCCATGTTGATTTTTGTGTTAATCTCATAACTGATATTCCTTCCCCTCAGCCCTAATTTGTACCTCCAGTTAAAGGCTCTCTCTTTTTTCTGATCATTTTGCTTTGCTTACCTTTACTGCATGAGGGGATAGTGAATGAGCAGCTTCTTATCTCTTGTGAATGTGGGTGATGGTGGGAATGACAGCAAGAACTCTGTTCACAGTAATAGACCCTGCCTCATACAAGGAGGTGACCAGTCTCCTAAATCACATTAGTTTTGATCCAATCTTTTTTTTTCTTTTGGTGAGGCAATTGGGGTTAAGTGACTTGCCCAGAATCACACAGCGAATGAGTCACATTAGTTTTGAGAGAGATGATTATTTCTCATATTAATAGCCCAATTATTTAAATTGAGAGGACCTCAGCTTTTTCCCCCTGTCATATTTCCTCCTCTAATCTCTTAAGGACTGGGCTCATGGAAGATAGGATTAACATTCTCCTCATTCTGGGTATTGCTACTCCACTTAATTAGCTCTGGCTGGGGTAGGGGATATAAATTCTTTGAATAGATTGCCCAAGGCTGAGGATAATTTAGAAGTAAATAATCAAAGTTCATTAGAATAGGTCCAGCCCCTCATTGTAATATTCATTCTCTCCTTAATTGTTAATCAATCAGGGTCAATTGCCACCCTCTGGAACACCCCTCTTCTAAGGGCATATAAGCCGTAGGCCTGCCACCATGATTGTCTTTGGCATTCAAGAGCACCACTGACCTTTTATAAAAATGCTAGCATTATTAATAAAATGACGAATTACCCAGAAATTAGGTCTCAAAGTTTTTCAATATCACAATTAGAACTTCAGGGAATTGCCCCCGTGACTTTTCCCATGACTTTCCTTCAATCAAAGAGACTGAGAATTAGGGGTTAACACTTAAATGGGTTGGGGCAACTAGGTGGTACAGTGAATAGAGCTTTGGCCTTGGAGTCAGGAGGACCTGAGTTCAAATCCTGCCTCAGACACCTGACACTTACTAGCTGTGTGACCCTGGGAAAGTCACTTAACCCTATCTTCACCACCCCCAATACTTAATAGGTTAAACTAATGTTAGTTATACTTCACCACATAGCTTATAATTCTTAAGGGGTTTTTTTTTGGGGGGGGAGGGTGGCAACCTCCTAAACTTTGATCCATCCTAAAAGAATCAGGTAGACAAAGTCCTGGGGCTCTTAGCTTAAAGTGTCTCTTCGTGAATGACGGGGACTGATTCCTGTCATTTAGTAACAGTGAACTAAAATCTTTTGCTACAGACACAGCGGGGGCGCCATATTGCTGTGTTTACCGTATTCTGTAACATTCGTTCCATCACTTCACTAATATAAACAGTTTGATTTTGAAGAAGGTTTTTCTTGTGCATGAGATTCATAATTATTCATGACAATGGTAGGAGGTTAAGAGAGTATACATAATCGAAATCTATCTCTAAGTTATAACTTTACAAACACACTGCCTCTAATCAGTCCCTCTAACCCTCTCCCCCACCGAGGCTTTTTGCAATTCAAATCAGGTAGATCCAACAGACATTTATTAAACACTTACTATGTGGAAGGCACTTGGGAAACAAAGACAAAAAAATCAAAATGATTCCTGTCCTCAAGGAGCTTATATTCTATTAGGGAGACTGTAACATGTTCAGAAATAAGTAAATATCAATTAGATGCAAAGTAATTTCAAGAGGGGGAGCTACAAACAAAGAGCACAGTGGCTGGTTTTCATTTTTATTCCATTCTTTTCCCTTGAAGAATTGTCCCTGGCAAAGATGCTGAAGAACAGGGAAACAATCACTAGGCAATAATGTGGAGAGGGAGAAAGCAAAGGCCCTGATTAATCCTTCAATGAATAATTTAGCATTGACTTCAATGGGTGGGATTGATTGGGCTGGGCTTCCTCCTGACTTCCCAAATTGTTGGTCTTGCCATGTAAACATCAGCTCTTGCCTGAAGAATAAAGGTTAAATTTCACCTAGTGAGTCCTCTGCAGGATGAGATATTATTTTGAACAAGCCCAGTGCCCTCTTGTCCAAAATAGCAAGATACTTTAGATGAAAGAAGGGGAAAAAAAGAAGCTGTAAACTAAGGACCCCTCCAGTGAGGTTGTTCCCCTGGACACAAGGCAGCAGCCCCTTGCTGGAAATTAGATAGAGAAATTGGGAGACAAAAGGAAGTATTGTTTCTTGTAGCAAGTGGCAACAATGTTTCAAAGGGGGAGGGAGGGAGAGAGACAGGGGGGATAATTCCAGTGAAAACCAGGGCATCTCAATTTCATTTTCTTGCTCCTCACTAGGCTTTTAGAGACAGACTGCTGGGGTGTGTCCAAGGAAACTGTCTTCCCCCCCCCCCACTAAATATAACTTCAACTTGAACCAAGTACTTTCTCTTCTTTTTCACTCCCACATTAAACAACATGGACAACACCACATTTCCCATTTCCCAACAAATAGCCACTCAGGCTTAGTGGCCACATGCTCAAAAACTGTGAGTCATTTCAGTCATGCCTGATTATTTGTGACCCCACTTGACATTTTCTTGGCAAAGATACTGGAGTGGTTTGCTATTTCCTTCTCCAGCTCATTTTACACATGAGGAAACTGAGGCAAACAGGGTTAAGTGACTTGCAGGGTCACACAGCTGGTAAGTATCTGAGGCTAGATTTGAACTCAGGTCTTCTTGACTCCAGGCTCAGGGGAGAGAGAGAGACAGCCAAAAACAGAGGAACACACAGAGAAACAGAGAGAGACAGAGACACACAACACACACAGAAACACAGAGAAACCAAGAGAAAGAAGAAGAAAAATTAGTGGGCACACTATGGATGAAGACCCAGCAAAGAAGACTGAAGATTGCTCAGACAAGAGAACCAAGAAAGAACAATGTCACAAAGAAACAGGAGAGATTATTCAGGAAGAGAAGATGACCACCAGGGACAAATGCTGCAGACAGGTCCAGAAGGTTGAGAAAAGGACAAGATCATTGGTGCTCTGGAGAGGGCATTCTCATTTGAATGAGAACATAATCCAGAGGACTGAGAAGAGAGTGAGGAGACAGTAGAGTACCAAATACTCATGGTTTTTTCATGGAGTTTAGTTAGAGGAGAGACAAGGTTATTGCAAATAAGTCTTAGAGGCTCTTGTGAGTGATGGGGAAGATCCAGAGTGTTTTTGTAGGTTGCTGAGAAGAACTCAAATAGATATAGATTAATATTGAAGATCAGAGAGTGAGGGGGTGGAAAAAAGGCATGTCCAAGTTTAAGGAATGCAGTGCCATTACATGCTAGGTACACCCAGAGTCAGAAATAGGACAAGGCAATTAGGTTTTTTGTTCTTGGGGGCCAAAGTGGGAAGGAACTTCTTCCTTATAGTGGTCTGTCAAGCTTCATATATTAAGACCCTCTGCTGCCCTTTCCCTACACATTGTAACCACTCCTTATATGCTCAGGGTCTTACCCCTCTCTCCATTGTTTTAACCCATCTGAAGTCTCCAGGGCATGAGCCACTCCCTTGCCTAATGTCACTATGTCAAATTGGGTGGGCTCTCCCCTGCATCCCACTCTGCCTTAACTGAATTTTCCCTGGGTGCCAGAATGCCTAATTATAGCCCTGTGTGGCCAACTTCTGAGAATTCAGGCCAAAGTACCAGCCATAGTTATCACGTGCAAGCTGGGAGTTCTCTGTTTATTTACCTCTTTTGTGTAGTCACAGACCCTCCCACAGAATCATAGAGCTAGAATGGGTGTCAAGAGATTATATATCTTAAGTTAGGACTAATGGCCAGTGATCTTAAACTGAAGAAAGAAAAAAAAAGATCATTATCTTTGTGCTTGAAGGATTCAACTACAAAAGACAGCCACTGAAAGATGTCCCTGAAAGGGTCATTATCATCTTTAGGGCATTGATTTTGAGTTGGAAGAGAACTTAGTGAACATCTATCTAAACCCACATCTTTATTTTACAGATGAGGAATTTCTGGCCCAGAGAAGGCCCAAGGCCAGAGATCTAGTAAATGGCAGAACCAGTAGTTGAACCTCAGTCCTCTCTAACTTGTAGCCTGCCAGTTTATCAAGTTTCTATTAAAGAGTATTTGTAGGAATTAATTAACCAGGCAGATCTCATCAGGGAGGGGGAGTTTAGTCAGGGAGTTAGGAAGGCCAAAGGAGAAGCTTGGACTAGATGACATAACATTCCTTCCGAGTATAAAATGCCACAAATCTTTTCATCACATTAAGAAAAGAGAACTTAGGTTGGCTCTGCAATAAACAAGAATGTCCTTAGATTTGTTCCAAAATGTGTGTATTCTCCCCTGCCCCACTCCATTGTTGGGAGCTAAAGGGAAGTTGTGGACCTGTATCAGGTAGTCACTTACCTTGGAACTTATCTCAGCAGATGCTACCACCTGAAAACAGCTTCTCAAATGGTTTAGTTAAATATAGGGATGGAAGAGACATAATAGGTTAATAAAGGGAACTGGAGACCTCAAAGTGTTACTGTCCAAACTTTGAGGGTTTATGTCGGAAAGTCTATCCTGCCTTCCTCTAATATGGCTAGACTGCCTTACGCTCCCCTTCACTAGGTATCTCATGGGGTAGAAGACTTCTGATAGGGATACTTAGGCTGGAGTCTGGGAACTTTTTTTTTAATTTGATAACTGTATTCCAATATAATTGAATTCCTTTTGGCACAGTGACTACTAGGGATGCCTCCATCTTAGGTGATCAGGGAAGGGTCCAAAGTCCTATTATACTTTGTACTCCTATGTATTTTATTCTACATATTTAAAAATGTTATTCTGAGAAGGGGTCCAGGATACACAAAAAGGTTAAGAACCTCTGCTTGGGGGAGGCTGCATGACCACATGTTGGGAATATGCCACAGTAGGATACTAGTACTACTAGGTGGCCCTTCCTACTATGATTCTGT